CAAATTAAAGCAATAATTTGGATAACAGTTTTTTTAACCTCCATAAACTGACTGCACATAACAGAGCAGTGTGCTTGGTTCATTTCTGTACTCTGTGCTATTTGATTAGTGAGAATGATGGAGAACACTTTAATGTAAAATAACTTATGCAGTTTGCTTTGTTTAGTTCAGAATCAACAGGCACCAAGGCATCTAGTCTCCCTAAAAAATTTTGTAAATGAAGAGAACATTGTTAACCTTGCTGACCAGGCATGCCCCCTTCCCCTGGGCTGGAATAGATAACTAAATGAATTTAAAGGTAACCTCCCCTAACAAATTTTAACATCTGGGTTAAAATTCAACTGCCTTGCCACTATGTTTTGAATATCAGCAATATGAACTATGAAAATGAAATGCAGCCAGGCGTGGTGGTGCACGCCTGTAATCCCAGCATTCAGGAGTCTGAGGCAGGAGGATCACTGTGAGTTGGAGAACAGCCTGGGGTGCATAGTGAATTCCAGGTCAGCTTCTACTACATAGTGAGACCCTGTCTCAAAAAACCAAAAAAAAAAAAAAAAAAAAAAAAAAAAAAAAAAAAGAAAAGAAATGTGATCACCTGAATGACATCAAGGCTATAAAACCCTATAAAAGGTGGAGTGGTAGTCCAGTACTGTGTTATTCAGGGCATTGCCATTAGGTGTGCTCGATCCCTGTGGATGGAGTAAACGTTTGTTATTTTACTTCCATTCTGTTGTCTCTCTGTGCATCACTTGCCAATTCCTTCCATAGCGACAATAGACTGTTGAGTATTTTATTTTTCTCTAAAATCTTTTCTCGCAGAGTCTTAGGGTTATTTGTTCTACCTGGACTGAATGGTGACTACTGTTGAATTTGTAGCTTATTTGGAGTTTCTCCTCATGACAACTTCAGTTGATAAAGTTGACATTCTGCTTTTAATCCATCTTCACAAGTTGTAAAGAATTTGCAAAATGGGGTTTTTCTTTACAGATCATGTATTTTTGGAATTAAATAGTTTAAACTATTCTTTTTCTTTCTTGCTACCAGGGATTTGAACTTGGATATTATGCTTGCGAGGCAGGTGGTGGTACCACTGAGCTAAATCCCCAGCCCTTATACAATTCTTAAAGATTTAGTTGAATTATTTGAGTGCTGATGTACCAAACAATCTTTATAAAACTCAGAAGTGATAGAAGCCCCACAAGTGTGTACTAATAAATTTTTTTTAATTTTAAGAAGAGAATCTTAACTTACTCTTCCTTGAATTATTTTTAATTGAATAATTGTTAATTCCAAAAGAATATAACATTCTTCATAAACTACTTAGTAAATTTATACTTTCTAACATAGGTATTAATATTCAACTGATTTTTTAAGGTTTTAAAATAATATATTTGTGTAACCACTAATTTGTCCAACCACTAATTTCAGTGCCTTATTTTTGCAGGAAAATTTATGCTTTTATGCCTCAAAATATAAAACATATGAGATTTTCAACTCCATGTTATATGTAGAATATTTGCAGCTGGATATTCAGATATTAACTGTCCAAATGACCATGCTTTTTGTTGTGCTGCATAGCTATTGATAACCAAGTGGCTGCTTGTTCTTGCACGAGTGGAGGACACCAGAAATGCATTGGTGTAGTATTTTGTTATCTATCTATCATCTATCTATCTATCTATCTGAGACAGGGTCTCACCATGTAGCTGAGACTGACTTGGAACTCACTATGCCAGCCCAGGCTGGTCTCCAACTCACAGTGATCCTCCTGCCTCAGCCTCCCAAGTGCTGGGATTACAGGTGTGCACCACCACACCCAGCTGTTTGTCCTTTTAAAGGCTGAGGCCAAAGCTTATGCCAAGGAGCAGATTTTGACTGAATAATAATGTTGAAGCTACACATTTAAAGTCTTCAAGCAATGTGTAGAATGGGTTTGGATACAGTAGCGCCTCAGCACACACCCTGGTCACATGGGAACAGTTGAGATATTCATATGACTATGGTTTTACATTCTGTCTTATTATTTGCTGTTTAACCTATGCTAAGATTAGTTTACTTGGCATGTTACTATGCAATCTTTCTTCAGTTGGTTTCTGCGTGGATGGATGTTCCTTACCTATTTCGCTAGGTGGCGATGTCTACATCCTCATCCAGGGTTTGGTTTCTGCTTTCCTCTACCTAGGGCACTGCAGTAGGAGCTTTGTAGGGCTCTCCCGGTTACAGTCAGTCAAAACTGAATAAAGGTATAGGGAAAGTGGGAACGGTAGAGGAAAGCTAATAAGGAAAAAAATATGAGAAAATGAAGAAATGGAAATGAAGTGTTTGTAAATGGGGAGGGAGGAGGGATGAAGAGAGGGAAGGGACAAGGGGAAAAAATGAGAACCAAGACCTGTCATGTAAAGGTACAAGATCCCAATAATTAATGTAACTGTACTGTCTACCTAGAATGTACCAATAAACTCAACGAGGAAACAAAACAAAACAAAAAACTGAATGTCAGCGGGGGATTTAGCTCAGTGGTTCCACTGCCTGCCTCGCAAGCACAAGGTCCTGAGTTTGATACCTGATACCAAAAACAACAACAATAACAAAACGGAGTGTCACTGAGGGGAAATCAGTGACAGGATGTGTGATTGCCATTTGTCGTTCATTGTGTGGGTGCTGCCTGCCTGCCTGAGTGTGTGTGCCCAGTCAGAAGGAAGAGCTCCTCAGGCTTGTGCCACATCTATTTTCCTAAAATCATTAGCCTTAATTCCACGTTCCAATGCATGATGTAATTATAATAAAATAAATACATATGAAAGCCCTTCATCACTAAGCTAGAACGTGACAAGCAATAATACTGCGTCATTGCCCTACCTTACCCCCAAGGTAATTGGCTGAACTTTGGATTTTCCTAATGTATTTGATACACTTTATCACACGTGCATATATTGATACAAACCAATCATATCCCATTGACTGAGTTTGAATAGATATTATGTATTTTTATTCTGAGAATTGCTGTTTTTGAGTCAATGCTATATTTCTAAGATCTGGCATGTTGGGATGTGTGTAATAGTTCATATTCATTGGTGAGGAAGTAATATCAGTTTTCTCATTATGAAAAGAGTGATACTATGGACGTTGTTATATATCTCCAAGGAAGTGTGAAAATGTGTCTGGGGGGCTAGGAGTACAGTTCAGAGGCACAGCATTTACCTACCATGTGCAAGGCCCTGAATTCAGTTGCCAGCACTGAAAAAAAGAAAAGTTTCTCTTGGGAGTTTAGAGTTGAAGTGGTTGTTTAAACAGTGATACCAACTTGTTTTCCAAGAAATTAGACCATATTATACCCATCATCTAGTAGAATATAAAAATCCTATCTATCCACGTTCCTCCAACACTTGATGCAATCAGGATTCTTTTATATGTACTATATTATTTTAATTGATATATAAAATTGTGCATTTTTATAGAGTACAATAGAACATTTTGATATATGTGTATAATGTGTAGTGATCAGATTCTATCAGAATTCCTAATTATTCTCATTATGGTTTTGATTTGAGTTTCTGTGGCTATTTGTTAACCAGTTTATCTTTTACATTTTTTTTTTTTTTTTTTTACCAGCCATTGAACTCTGGACCTTGTGTTTGTGAGGCAGTTGTGGTGCCACTGAGCTAAATCCTTGGCTTGTTTTTTTATAAAATTCAAATTTTGGGTGGGTGTGGTGGTACATTCCTATAATCTCAGCACTCTGGAGGCTGAAGCAGAAGGATTGCCATGAGTTCAAGGCCAGCCTGGCCTCCAAAGTGAGTTCAAGGTCATCCTGAACTACATAACAAGACCTCATCTCAAAGAATTTTTTAAAAAAATTCTGGAACATTTATACTGTCATCCATTTAGACTTCTTTTGTGTGTGTGGGGTACTGGGTATTGAACTCAGTTCCTTGAACTTGTGAGACAGTGGCAGAACCACTGAGCTAAATCCCTGGCCCTGGCATCCATTTTGAGTTTGCTTTACTTACGCAAATTTGCTTACAGTTCTTTGCATGCACATACCACATCCTCTTTCCCCAAACAAAGATCTTTCAAGCATCAGCTACTGTGCCTTAGGAAACCCCTTATTTCAATGCAGGCCCTTTCCTCTTTAATAAACTATTTCAGACTCATCCTCATGCATGAGAGACTTCTCCCAGAATTTCAAAATACATTTGGGAGGATTTATAGGTGGTGAAGGTCTGTGTTGTCAGAAGGAAATAAATAACTAGAGGCATTTGAGAATGGAGTTAACATGTCCTCCTTTGTAGCTATGATTTTTTTCTGTTCATAGACCTTTGGTTTGTGTGCGAGGGCTTGGCTGGCTAGTGTTCCAAGCACCACTCCTCTCAGCCTGGGAAAAAACGCTGTGTGAGTGGTGGGCCACTGAGTCCCCCCCCATAGAGATGGGTGTTCCTCACAGTAGAACACAGGCGGCCAGTTACTGGAATCGCTGTGTACCAAGTGCACGCAAGATGGAGTGCCCAGGCCCTCCTGAGGATGGAGCGAGGCTCCCCAGAGGCAGGGATGTGTTCAGGGGACTGGGATGTCTGTAAATATATCCAGAAGTCAGGAGTGTGGGTAGCCAGGAGTTTGCTTATGAGCAGCCTTTAAGCAGTGGGACCGATCCCCCAACTGCTGACCGAGGGTGGGAGCAAGGAGCTGACAGACACTCAGCTTTCTGGTCTGGGCTCCTTGGTGAATGCCACACCATTTACCAGAATAGAGAATCTGGGGGAGAAGGATGGCTCAGTGTTGGGATCCCACAGGCCACTCTGAGGAAGAGCAGATGACAGTGTGGGGCCCGGTGTTGGGGATGTCTGGCCTCAGTGTTATTTCCAGCCCTAGAGCATTAAGAGCTGGTCTCCCAGTGCAGTTACCACTCAGAGGCCTTGGCTCTTTGGACTCAGAGCAGCTGGCATGAATACACTTCTCCTCCTCCGTGTCCTCATCTGCCTGCTGTGTGTTTTCACAGGGGTTCGTTGCACCCGGGCCGGTGAGCTCCTCCTGGAAGTGAAGTACTGGCATCCTGAACGCAGCCAGCAGCCTTGAGCAGGGAATTTTGGAGCAATTGTGGACGGGCATGACGCTTGGGTTCCTGGGGGAAACCTGTCAGTCAACCCTGGCTGAGTCTCAGCAGTGTTCGGGAGAATCCTTTGAGAAGAAGAAAGAGAGCAACAACATGAAGAGGAAGAAAGAGCAGCCAAGAGGTCTCAGTGCCTGGGACCACCCTCATGGTCATTAGAGCCTCTCGGTTTTGTCCTCCCGATCTTACAGACATGCTTTACTCACTATTCTCTGAAGAAGCACAGCTTTATGGCTAATGCCTCTTCTCGCTTGTACCTCCATTTCTGCATCTGTGAAATGGGGATAATAATACTGAGCACATAGGGTTGGTGGGCAGATAAGTGAGTTGATCCATGGAAGCCACTTAAACCAATGCTTGGAGTATAGTAGCGCTCAGAGTTAGTTTGCATCTTTCCTGTTACCTATGTACAAGCTTTCCAGAAGCAAGGCACTCCTGCTGATTTGGGAAGAGACATCTGTGATCACCTGTTACCCTTGCTTTTACATTTTTTTCATTGCCCTGTCTCATACACCAAAGTCCTTTCCTCAGGAACTCTGAGCTTAGCAGTGGTCCTTCCTTTAAATAGCTTGGCTGTGTGGAGTCAGCTGAGGCCATGGTTAGGACAGTGGGTCAGAGAACTGATATGTTTTAGTTTTCTCATGTCCTTAAAAGTTCTTTCTGGCTTTCAGCCTCCTGTGAGTTGAGGTTAAGCACATCTGTTCCAAAGCTGTCTTCTGGTTTCCTTCACTCCAGCAGCCTCTCCACTACAGTGTGGCATAGACCAGTCGGGCACAGCTCCGAGCACCATGGACACGCGCTCAGACTCTGCCATAGAGAGTTTTGAGTGGAAGGAACCCAGGATTCCCCCAGCTCTGCTTCCACAAATGTTTCTGTCCCTTTGCTCTCCCACTGCTTGTGCTATGCATTTTTCAATGAATAATACGCCTTTTGTGAAACCCCTTTTTCCTAATGGACTATTAAGCTTGTTCTGTTGTTTACCATTGCATGACTTTTTGCTTGATATATCCTCCCCAATTTGTTTGCAATCTGTCTTTGTAGGATTCCATGTCTGCAATAGATTCTAGAATAAGTTCTGATTTTTGTCAAGCTCTTTAGCTAGATCTTGCCCTCAGTACCTTCTCTCTCCCTTTATAGGCCTGGTTGGTTTACACAACATTGGACAGACCTGTTGCCTTAATTCCTTGATTCAGGTGTTCATAATGAATGTAGACTTCACCAAGATATTGAAGAGGTAAGTCTGTTATTCAGACTGATAAACATGTATACTATTTTAAGTTTTTAAGTATTCAGTTTTTCACTATGACTTTAGAAGTCTTCTTTCCCAAGTTGTCAGAGAAAAAGGTCTTTTTCTATATATTCTGAACTACATATTAGAGTCACATGAGTTGTTTGGTTTCAGTTGGTCTGGGTTGGCAACCAGGCTTTGATACATTTTTTTTTTTTTTTTTGGTTTTTTGAAACAGGTTCTCACTATGTAGTCCAGGCTTGTCATGAACTCACAGCGATCCTCCTGCCTCAGCTTCCTGAGTGCTGGGATTACAGGCGTGTGCCACCATGCCTGGCCTTGGGCTTTGATACTTTTAAAAGTCTACATGAGTGACTTTAAAGTACAGGCAAGATTGATGGCCACTGGTTTGGTTAAAGGAGTTGGGATTACTCTAAGGTCAGGAAAAAAGGCAACAGGATCGAAAGTGTGCTCAATGCACATAGCTCTCTTTCTCCCCATCATTAGCACGGCAGTTGAGAGCTACCTATAATTAATCATTGCTAAAGCACTCATCATCCTCTTACTGATTTTTTTTGGTACCGGGGATCGAACTCAGGACCTTGCACTTTGCCAGGCAGGCGTGGTGCCGCTGAGCTGCATCCCTGGCTCATCATCTTCATATTACCCTTTGTAACTCACTCTTCACTGTTCCAGTTCAAAGCGCTTCCAGCGAGACCTTCAGTGACCTGCCCCAGTGACCCAGAGCCTGGTGCATCTGCCCTTGGCTGTGGTGTGATTGTGTGTGTTGCTCTTTCTCTCAAGAGAGAACTTTGCACAGCTGATCACTAACTTGGTGGTCTTCAGCTGTGGTTCCCCATTTAAGTTGCCTGGCCCCATTCCTGAGTTCAGATTTCTTTCCTAAGTGGCCGGGATGTGGAATTTTTAAGGTTTTCCAGGTGATTCCAGTGTGTGTCTCTGGTAAGGATGTTCCTGCTGTTCTTCTTTGGCAGGATGACAGTGCCAAAGGTCTCAGAAGAGCAAAGGACAAGTGTCCCCTTCCAGCTGCTGCTGCTGCTGGAGAAGATGCAGGACAGCCGGCGGAAGGCGGTGCGCCCCGTGGAGCTGGCCTACTGCCTCCAGAAGAACAACGTGCCACGTGAGACTCGGGGCTGGGGCTCTAGCTGCTGCCTCTGACCTAAGGTGGGGGGAGCCGGAGATGGAGGGGAGAGCATGGCTCATGAGCAGAGGTGAATAGGAAGGAAGTGAGGTGGATGCTGGACTGCTCAAGGTGGAGGGTGGTGTAGACCTGAAATATTTTCGATTTTTGTTTTACTTTTAAAAGAAAAAGCCTATTTTAATAGATATTTTTGTGAATGTTATTGGTTTACCATTTTTTGAAGAGTTTTTTTCTTTTTAAAATTATTTATTTATTTATTTTTGGTACTGGGGATCGAACACAGGTCCTTGCGCTTTCGAGGCAGGTGGCAGAACCACTGAGCTAAATCCCCGGCCCTGAAATGTTTTTTTAAATAAGCATAACCATGTGTATTTAGAGGGTATAGTGTAACCATGTGATACATTTATACAATGTGCAATGATCAAATCAGAATGATCAGCGTTTTCATTTCTTTAAATACTTTGTTAAACTTTGAACTCATTTATATTTATTAATGAAATATGTAAGAAGTAGTTATGAGCTATAATCTCCCTACTGTGCTACAGAACATTAGACCTTTTCTTCCGACCTAACTGAATTTTGGCGCCTGTAATCCAACCTCCCTCCACCCCACTCTACTCTCCCCTTCCTGTCCTCTACTGACCACTATTCTCCTGTCTACTAATAGTCAACAGGCTGGGGATTTAGCTCTGTGGTGCTGCCCTCTGCCTCACAAGTGCGAAGTTCTGAGTTTGATCCTTGGTACCAAAACAAACAAACAAACAAACAAAAAGTAAAACTAATATAAAGTCAACTATTTATCTTCTTCACATAAGTGACAACATGGTATTTGTGTCCCTGTACATGATTTGTTTCACTTAATATTCTCCATTTCCATCCATGTTGCTGCATATGACAATATTTCATCTTTTCAATTGCTCGATAATATTCTGAGATATATCACATTTTAAAAGTCCATTCATCCTTATATGGACACTTAGATTGTTTACATTTTTTGGCTATTGTAAAGAGTGTTGTAGAGGGCCAGGGATTTAGCTCAGGGGCACTGCACTTGCCTCCTAAGTGCAAGGTCCTGAGTTTGATCCCCAGTACCAAAAAAAAAAAAAAAAAAAATGTAAAAAATAAACTGGTTAACAAATAGCCACAGAAACTCAAATCAAAACCATAATGAGATACCATTGTTCTTGTGAGGGAGGTGCGGCACCACTGAGCTAAATACCTAGCCCTGACTTTCTCGTTCTTGTCCTTTTTGTTTGTTTGTTTGTTTTGTTTTATTTTGTTTTTTTGAGACAGGGTCTCACTATGTAGTCGAGACTGACCTGGAACTCACTATGTAGTCCAGGCTGGTCTCGAACTCACAGCGATCCTCCTGTCTCAGCCTCCCGACTGCTGGGATTACAGGAGTGTGCCGCCATACGTCTTCCTATTTTCATTGAATTGTCTGATTATATTTTCTCATGTCTCATTAAATTCTCTTGATATTCTTTTGAATTCTTTTTAGGCAGTTTGCCAATTTCTCTTTCTTTGGAGTTCTGGCTAGAGAGTTGTTGTATTCCTTTGGAAGCCTCTTATTACCTTATTTTTTTCATGCTCATGTGTCCCCCTATGTTGTTACTTGTGTATCTAGTGGGTCACTTGTCTCTACCCAAAGATGCATATCCCTGTCTTGCTCCAGATCTTAAAGGACAAACTCCAGTTTTCCTTGTAGAGTGTGATGTTAGCTATGGGCTTATCATATGTGGGGCTTTATTTATTGCCAACATTTTTGTTGCTTTGTGGAGCAGTTTTATGAAGACGGACACTTCCCTCATTTCAATTGTAGTCTTACCTTCTTTTATCTTTCTGTAGCAGTTTGTGTACTGTAGGGAATTTTTCTTATCTTTGAATCGTGGTTATTTGAGTGCTGCTCTCCATTAGAATACTGTACAGGTTTCTTGGAGACAAAAACTTTCTTTGGCATGTTGAATGCCTTGCACACGGAGGTGTTGAGTGCAAAGTGGGATCGGTAAGTGTCCTTGTGTTTCTTAGATGAGTGGGGCTCTGGTTCTGGGAGGCCCAGTGAGGGCAAACTGTCTCTATATGGACATGATCTGACATCCTTTCCATCCACATCAGCTCTGTGGCAAGAATCCTGTACTAGAGAGCATCAACCGAATACTACTATTAGACTGCATGTCTTTGAGTTTCAGGTTCACTGTGTTGGAAAAAAGATTGATTAATCTGCTCAACTGATAGATAATGGTCATCTCGTGAGTGCCAGTCATCGTGATGTTTCTGGAGAAAAGGAAACAAGGTGGACAGGGTCTTTCTGTCTATGGAGCTATAGTTTAGAGGCAATAAGGCTGAAACCAATATTGAAACAGAATAAACTAAAAACTTTTAGGTGCAAGTTGTGATATTATTAAGGAAAGAAAATGTAGTTGAGATGGCAGATTTAGCACATTTTCAGTGACCACCTGTTCCTGCAGCGTCTTTGCATTTTGACACCTTACTATCCTTTTGGAAAATACTCTTCACTGTGGTTTTACTTTTTTTTTTTTTAGCTTCTTAGTCTTCTTTATAACAACACTGATAAATGCACAACAGTTTCAGCCCTACACTTACCTATGTGACAGGCATGGAATTCACAGCCAGGTTCTGGCTCCCTCTAAGCTTGCATCGTATGATACTAAGCTGGTTCCTCTTTCCTTGTCTTCTTGGTGCCTTTGAGAGAACCTGGGTCAGATATAAAAATTGGGAAACCACTCAGGTTTTAGTGCAGTGAATACAAAATATATCAAAGGTTAGAGAAATGAATCGCTTAGTCAGAGTGATGGCCTACTGTAGCTGTAGGAGAGCATTCCTGGTACTGTCTAGCTAGGGCCCCTGGTAGGGGCCAGGACAGCTGGCTGGAGAGTGAAAGGCTAGGAAACTTGTGTCATGTAATAGGACAGTGGCTTAAGTTTTAAGAAGAGCTCTCCAAAATCCATACCAAACTTAGTTTTCATTTATCGGGCACCTAACATTTACTGAAAACAGCCGTTTCTGGTGTGGAGGGAGGCTAGGAGTGACAAGATAGTGTTATGGTAGTTGAAATACAAGGGCATGAGAAATCTCCGGTGACCTCACTGACAGCTGTTGCTTCTCTTTGGCCAGTGTTTGTCCAGCATGACGCGGCTCAACTGTACCTTACAGTCTGGAACCTAATCAGGGACCAAATCCAGGACATGGACTTGGTAAGAACCTAGAATTAGAAAATTCATCAGAAGTTTAGGGTGCTGCTGCTGGAAGTCACTCAGTTATTGTTTATGCAGTGTGTAAAGAGGTACAAAGGAGTTAATCTACATAGAATCCTTACCATAGTTGTGTACAATCATTCCTGTTACTCTTCTGCACCTTTGTGTGGATGGTTATTACTTCTAGAGTTTCTGTCTGATGAAGATAACTTCTGGAAATTGGACTGACCCGGTCTGCAGCTTTTTGCCCATCTTACCTGTCCCTTCTTTCCTTTTGTAGGCAGAGAGACTGCAGGACTTGTACACTATCCGGGTAAAAGATACCTTGGTTTGCAAAGAGTGCACAGTGGAGAGCAGCAGAGACAGTAGCTTGCTGACTCTCCCTCTTTCTCTTTTTGACATGGATTCGAAACCTCTTAGAACACTGGTGAGAAACTTCTTGGCAAATTTGTACACCCTTGCCCCCCTTCTTTTATCTACGCTTGGCTTTTTAAAAATAAATTTAATTTGCATGGCCCTGGTCCATTTCTCCTTTGATTTGGCAAAAATCAAAAATCAAATCCTACTTCCGCTCTCCTCACACTGTTCCCTCAACAAGTGTCTCTCCAGCTCCTGCTTTATTTCTCCACCATCTGTGGGTACTTTATGAGAACCTGCCAAATGGACCATGCAGGCCAGTCATTTGGGGGATATGATAAAAATTGGAAGTCCCCACTAGCAGGATGTGGGAGTAAAAAGTTACTATCTCGATGGGAGACACCAACATTGCTCGTTTTTTTTCCTTCTGGGGGGACAGGAGGATGCCCTGCACCATTTCTTCCATCCCAGGGAGTTATGCAACAAAAGCACATTCTTCTGTCAGAACTGTGGGAGGAGGACCCATGGGATACAGGTACTCATAAATTCAACTCTTTCACTAGTTTGGGGTTGCCCCTAGACGATTTCCTGATAGTCTTCCCAGACCCCTGAGGGCACCTCATGATGGTTGAGGGAGGGAATTTGCGTCAGGCTAGTGTCTGGGATCTGATTTCCGGATCTTTGCATGTGGCTTCTCAGATCACAGCATTGAGAGGGACAGAGGCTCTTAGGGAGAAGAGGAGAAGGTCCCAGGGCGGTACGAAGGATTTATCCATCAGGGTTAAACCAGCTTCCCAGTACAGACTCCATAGTTTCTCCCTTGGGTAGAACCTGGGAGCCACTTGTGTCTTTGTGAGTGGCATGCAGTGGTGAGATGGTCAGCTGTCACATGAGTCTTGCAGGAGCTTAACAGATGTGGTGAACAGGAGCTTTTAACTCTGTATTATATCTTCTTGTACTGGTGAGAAGAACATACCACCAGCCCTGCATTTCTCTGAATCTGCTCATTTCAAGTGTCTTGGGATTTGATCTCCATAATGATTTTGTTTTTTCAGGCCTTGAAGCTGACCCATTTGCCCCAAACTTTGACCATCCACCTCATGAGATTCTCCATCAAGAATGCAAGGACAGAAAAGGTCTGCCACTCGTTGTGTTTCCCTGAGAGCTTGGATTTCAGTCAGGTTCTTCCAAGCGAGCAAGACATCAGTGAAGCAGAGGAACAGGTGAGATGTTCCCTCTGTCCTCATCAGCCTTATCACACAGCATGTCCTTTAGATTGGGCCTCCTTTCATCCATCAGCTTCCAGAATCAGAAGTTCTCTAGCTCCAGGTTCTTACCAAGGCCACATGATGATTTGGTCTTACCTAAGTTCCAGACTGTGAGGCAGAGTTGAGTAGCCTCATGCTGGACAAACTCTGGCCACAGATGTGTATCCTTTGCACATTTGAGATACACAAAGAAAGGAAACCAGCCACACCTCGGTGTGACTCATAGAAGAAGCACACGTGTATATGAGACACACTTATTCTTTAAGCAGTATTTTAACAGTGGAAACCTGTGTGCTCTTGACCATCAGTGGTGGTTTTTATCACCATACTGTCACCTCTAGCCTTTACTGCTTATAGTGGCTTTTCTTTTAAGGTGCAAAAACTTGCCTAATTTTAACTATTGGATTTGTGTGTAAACATCTCATAGAATTAAGGGAAGCCACTAATAATTTAGTACTTTCTTTCGAAAATAGCATGTAAAAGCTGGGCATGGTGGCGCACGCCTATAATCCCAGAACTCGTGAGGCCGAGGCAGGAGCATCACTGTGAGTTTGAGAACAGCTTGGGCTACATAGTGAGTTCCAGGTCAGTCTCAACTACATAGTGAGACCCTGTCTCAAAAAACAAAAAAATGAACAAAACAAAACAAAACCAAAAAATGATATGAATATCTCTTTTCCCTAAGTATGAAATGCTGTATTTAGAAAATTTTATATTCTCATATATATGAATCTAATTTTAGAATATTGGTTGTTACATTAGTCTGTCTATTCTTTCCCAGAAACCATGATATTTAAAAAATTAAGGTCTGATAATATGATATATGGCTCCTTTTATGACATTTTTTTAAACCTATTGAGGGTATCTACATTTAATAAGATATCCCTTTCCTCTCCTAGTTTTCCTTATCTACCTGCCCAGTCTGCCCAATGAAATGTATTTAAATTTTCTTTCCATTTCAAAAAGATCTTGTTATGGGAAATTTCAAATATATACCAAAATAGTGAAGGATTGTTCAATAAATCCTCATATATCCAGCAAGCAGCCTAGAGAGCTCTGGAAGCTCCTGGACTGTCTTTTTACCTCCACCTCATCCTGTTCTTTTGTCTGACCCTGTGCAGGATTATTTTGAAGCAAATCCCAGACATTGTACTCTTCCATTTATAAACACTTCACTATGTCTCACCAAAGGATAAACATTCTTTTCCTCAACTTATCAATTCCATCTCATAATTCTATAATTTGTTTTTGTTTTTGTTTTTTTGGTTTTTTGAGACAGGGTCTCACTGTGTAGTTGAGACTGCCCTGGAACTCACTATGTAGCCCAGGCTGGTTTCAAACTCACAGTGATCCTCCTGCCTCAGCCTCCTGAGTGCTGGGATTACAGGCATGCGCCACCATGTCCGGCAGTTTTTTTTTTTTGGTACCGGGGATCGAACTTGGGACCTTACACTTGCGAGGCAGGCAGCGGCACCACTGAGCTAAATCCCCAGCCCTTCTTTAATATTGTCAAGTATCTAGCCAATGTTATTTCTCTGACAGCTCTAATATTTGTTTGGTTTGCTTGAATCTGGATCCAAACAGATTCCACATTTTCATTTGGCTGCCTCCTTTCTTTTCTTCCTTACTCCTTCCTTCCTTCCTTCCTTCCATCCATCCATCCATCTGGCTAAGTTTATTTTAGGGGGGTTTCTTTCTTTTTCTTGCAGTTTATTTAGTTGAAGTTTTTTACATTCCATAATCAGCTGGCTGGGGTCATTTAACATATCCCCTTTTAGTTTTTGTAGATCGATCATTGCATTCAGTGATCACCCAGCATTTTTTATAAAGTCCAGCATGAAGTCCTCATATGAAAGCAGAGAAGACTGTGTGCCCTGCGTTTGGGGTGACTTGGTTCCCTTGCATTGTCCTCCCCCTCCGGCCCTCACATCCTGCTTCCAAAGTCTCATTTGAGTCACTATTTCACTGTGTAGATAAACTGCTCTGGTTTTTCCCCCTCATTGAGTTTATTGGTACATTTTAGGTGTACAGTGCAGTTACATTCATTACTGGGATCTTGTACCTTTAGATGACGGGTCTTGGTTCTCATTTTTTCCCCTTGTCCCTGCCCTCCCTTCACCCCCTCCTCCCTTCCCCCTTTGCAAACACTTTATTCCCATTTTTTCATTTTCTCTTATTTTTACTTTTCCCTTATTAGCTTTCCCCTTCCCTTCCCAATTTCCCTACTCCTTTAGCCCTTTTCTTCCTATTTCACATTGTCCATTATATCATTAGGATCTTATGTACTATTATAGTTTATTCACACCAGAGAAACGATTCGGTATTTACACATGTGTGACTTATTTATTTCACTTAGGAGTATATCCTCAATATGTATCCATTTTCCTATGAACAACCACTATGGAAATCAATATGGAGATACCTTAAAGAGCTGGGACTAGAGGTTCCATTTGACCCAGCCATTGCTTTGCTGGGTATCTTTCCAAAAGAATTAAAAGAATCATATTACAGAGATATATGCGCACCTATGTTTATAGCGGCACAGTTTGTAATAGCTAAAACTTGGAAACAGCCCATTTGCCCATCAGTTGAAGATTGGATAAAGAAGATGTGGTTTTTCTATAAAATGGAATATTACGCAGCCATAAACTTCACTTTTTAAAAAATGCAATTTTATTTATTTTCTGATTTTAAAATTTAGATTAATTTTTAAATATACAGATAAAAATTATATATGTTTAAGGTGTCAACATGATGCTTTGATCTATGGATACATAGTGGAATGATTAGGTTAAGATAATTTACATACTTATCACCTCATATGTATTTTTAGTGGTGAGAACATTGAAAGTCTATTTTCAAAGCAATTTCCCAGTATAGTGGTGCCTTGGTTCATGAACTGAATTCTTTCTGCAATTCTGGTCACAAACCAAGTTGCATGAGAACCAAGTCAAATTCAGTGGTTAGGTTCATTGTTGACCATATGGGGAGATTTGATTTGGTTCTTGTTCAATTCAAGTTGAAACCAGAATGGTGGAAAGAATTAAGCTCATGAACTGAGGCACCGCTGTATACAGAAAATCAGTGTCAACAAAAGTTACTGCAGCAGAACTTGTCCCCCTGTTTAACTGAAGCTTTGTACCCTTTGTCAACTTATTTCCATCTTCCCGTCCCCACCGCAGTCCTTGGTGACCACCCTGCTTGTCTGGGTTTGACTTTTTAGGCAGAGGAAAGTATTCTTGGCTCTCCTGTCCCTAAAGAGTTCTGATTGGTTGCCTCTCACTCATGAGGTCCTCTCACAGTCACTTGGGAGTCTCTCTCCGCACTGTTCCCTTTTTCGGAAAGTTATCCTTTACTTCGATTTTCCAAGATTGTGAGTGAGTAGAATGATTCACTGCCATATCTAATGGATACCTTTGGGTCTTTTTCCAAAGTTTCTCCATGATATTCCATTTTACTGACTCTCCTTAAAAATCTATCTTCCCCTAGGTTTCTCTCCAAGGGTTTCTTTCTCCATTGCTGGATCCTTTTCTTTCCATCATTTCATGAATATTTAGTTTTAGTTCTATTCTTTTTTTCTCTCTCTCTCTCTCTTTTAAAATATCATCTCATTAATTCTTATGATTTCAATAATTGCCTCAAACTGAGGACTTCCAGATCTGTATCTTCTGTCCAGTTTTTTTTTCTTGAGCTCCAAACCGTATTTGCACCTCCTTTCCAAATGTTTTCACGTAGAGATCAGTCTCCCAATTCATGATCTTCATTCCAAATGACTCTGTTCTGTATTTGACTTTATAGTGTCAGTGTGACCCTACTATGTACACCAGGAATCTGAGGTTCATCCCTGTAGTGCTTCCTATTTTCCTCCTCAACCTAATTAGTTACCAAGTACCTTTACTTATTCTTTTGGGGGGAGGTCAAACATCATTTTTATTACAGATTAAGACAAGTTGGAGGTCAAAGGTCAACATGGCAGCCTGGTGAGCATTCTGGTTTTTCCGGTTCTGGTCAGTCATAGTAACTGTGATATCACCTTTATGTCAGTTCAAGGACAGAACCACCTATCTTGTGGCATGCCAGAGAGCACGGGAACATGCATGCTCTATGCAAATGGACAGAATCCATGGCAAAAGAGAACAGTGGGATCAGGGGAAGTTGTTTTCTAAACTCTGTATGAGTCTGGGTCCAATCAGAGGACAGAAACGACACAGCAACCCTTATTTTACTTCCTAGCCTAAAACATTAAGAGTAGTGATGCTGGCAATTTGGATATGCCAAAGGTTTAATATATTTTCCTTAATGAAAAGGTAAAAGTTCTGCATTAAAGAAGGAAATAAACCTTTAGTTATTTCTACCTAATTTTACACAAATCCACCTCTTCATCTCCATTTTCTGTATGGGCTTTGACCAGACAGGCTGGGCAGAAATTCCGCCCCTTCTGCGTAGAGATTTTGGCCTTGGGTAAATTACCTTCGTTCCTTGAGTTCAGATTCTGCCTCTGTCAGATAGGGCATATACTAGTGCCCACCTCACAGGGGTACTGTGAGTATTAAATGAAATGTCATTTGCTAGTAACAGTTATTATCATTTGAATGACTACCACTGATAGTGAGGATTCAGGTCATCACCATTTCTTCCAGGTGCCATTGCGGTGTCCTTATTTATCTCATTGGTTTCTATCACATTTGAATTGTCTCCCCCCCACCACCACCCCGTACCAGGATGGCACTCAGGACCTTACACTTTTGAGGTAGTTGAGGTACCACTGAGCTATATCACTGTCCCTACTCATTTTTCAAACTACATTGCTTCAGTGTGTTTCTCAAAAATCAATCTGGGACCCAGGATGTAGTTCAGTGGTGCCACTGCCTGTCTCACAAGCACAAAGTCCTGAGTTTGATTCCTGGTACCAAAAAACGAACAAACAAAACCAAAACAAAACAAAAGAACCCCATGGTCTGATGTTGCTTCTCTCCCTAAGATGTTCTGATGATTCCCAGTCATTTGTGGGATAAAGTCCTCCTCCTCCTGCTGCTCCTCCTCCTTTCTCCCTTCGCCTCTAACTTTTTGATATGAGGTCTCATTGTATTGCCCAGACTGGCCTTAAGCTTGAGATTCTCTTGTTTCAGTGTCTTGAGGGTCTTGAGATTGAAGGTGTGCACCATTATGTATGGCTTGTTAACTTGGCCTTATTTCTAGGGACCCCTTAGCACCTTCCAGACCTCCATGTCCTCAGAGTTCTCTACTCTGTTTCGTTGCTGAGTCTTTGCATTGCCTGGGTCTGCATTGGGTCCCATGCCTTGTCTGCCAGTCTTTAAGATCAGCTCAAACAGGCTTTTTCTGGGGGAGCTTTCCTCACCTCCTCAGCCCTTTCTCACTTGGCTTGTTTCTCCTTCTTTGTGGGTAAAAATGGATCCTTCTCAAATTACCTGTAAGGACATCTAGTACAAACCGTACTATTATAATTCTGGTTTATGTATTTGTTCAGTTTGCTGTGAGATTCTTGAGATCAAGGACTTCATTCTAGTACCAGTGAAGTACCAGTGCCTGACATGGTCAGTGAATAAATGTGTGGTGAAATAACATTTCTTTGTTTGAAACTATGGCTGCAAAAGGAGTGGTGATAGGTGAGTCATTTTATGCTTCACATCTTTCCAGGATGAAGGACAGTATGAACTCTTTGCTGTGATCGCCCACAGTGGGATGGCTGACTTCGGTCATTACTGTGCCTATGTCCGGAATCCTGTGGATGGAAAATGGTTCTGCTTCAATGACTCCCATGTTAGTTGGGTGAGAAGCATTGTCCAAAACTGCCTCTTGCCCTGCATTAGCCACTTCTAATAAACTCTGAGACCCGGGCTGCATGAGTTTTCAAGGTCAAACACAGTGTGCTCCTGTTTTCACTCTGTGGGGTTTGGTGAGGGGACTTTTTAAGAGGGTCAGAGTCCTTTCCTGCATGTCATCCCCATGGGCTTTGCAGCTCTGCAAAAATCCACTGACTTCATCGTCTAGGTTTCTGGTGCTCTGGGCTCATTTCCCTGCAGCTTCACATTCTGTGGGAAGCTTCTGTAAAGCAAGAAGGATTAGAAATGTGTAAGGGACAACTCTGGAATAAGCATAGCCAATTGTAAACAGAGGAGCAAGGCGATGGAAGACACTTCATTGTACATGTCGCTAGGTGCTCCAGGTTGTCGGGAGGAGTGGAGGAGGGCAGACTGTAGTATCCTGTGTGCTGTGGGTACTCGGTAGAGTCGGCTGGCTGCTGACTTCAATCTTCTACACTTTCAGGTATCCTGGAAAGACATCCAGTGCACCTATGGAAATCACAGCTACCGCTGGTAAGAGAAGTACTTGGGTAATGGGAAATGCATGAACAGACCCTGGTTCTCGGAGCTATAAAACTCACAGGGAGTCAGCCGCTACTTACGTGCGCGTGACTCCCCAGGACTAACCAGCTTCATCTTGCAATATGCATCTCACTGGCACACACTTTTCTCACCGCTGAGACTCCTGCGACACTCAAGGATGAATGTTCATGTGCAAACACCACGTCTGCCATCTCCCCCGAGTCTGTGCACGGGCAGTTTCTGGCCTGCCGTATGATCTCCTCATTTACTGTCTAAGCAAATCCCCCTCATGTTTCGGTACTCATGGCCGTTTCCTACTCTGCAACCCTTTACTGATTGGCCTAATGGCTTGTGGTACATGGTTTCATTGCATCTTGAACATTCCTCCTTTATGGTAAGGTCCATATGGTTTGCTTCCCTAGCTTTCTTTTCTATTAGCCTATATACTCTTTGGTGAGAAAGGACTACTCTTTTCATCTTTCTTTATCTGGAATATCGGCTTGAATTTAGTAAGTGTCAATAATTTTTAAAAAAAAATCATTTATAGGGGAATCTGGAGAGAAGAAAGTTAAGTAAAATTAAGGCAGAGAGACTGTAGGTTTTTTAAAAAACTGAGTTTCTACATTAGGAGTAACAATATATATCAAAGATGATGTTAGAGATGATTCTCAGTTGTAGAGCAGGTGTGATCATGAAAATGAAAATTAATGTAATTTGAGTCTGAAGTCCTCCTTCAACTTTCTACTTTTCATCTTTCTTTTCTATTTCTTCTCAGCATCTGTCTTAGATGCGTCTTTGTCAGTTTTTTTGTCATTTTTTCCTCATTACAGTAGGAGTTGGTGCCCTGGTTCTGTAAAGGGCCAGAGGAAATAGATTTTATTTCATGGGTCATAGTCTTTGTGCAGCTACACAGCTCAGAAGAGACTGTAGATAGTGCATGAGTGAAGGAATATAATTGACGGTGGTCCAGTTACACTTGTTTGTAGAAATGGGATTGGTTTGACTCATGGTCAGCTCCTAATTTAGACTTTAACTAATAGCAACCTATGGGTTATTTGCCTAAGTCACCATTTTGTGCCCTCTGAGGGCTTCGTGCATGATGGGTAAATGAAAATTTGGTCCAATAGCCTGGAAGTTTACGTATGCTTGCCCTATCATGAATTAATAACATATCATCTCACCATGACTACTTCCTTTTGCTATGCTGATGCATTTTTCTCTTCTTTCCAGGCAGGAAACTGCATATATTCTGGTTTACATGAAGGCCAAGTCCTGACGGATGCACTCCAAACCTTAAAAAACTGACAAACTCTCATTTTCCTTTTCTATTTCCTGGATCTGGTAGACTCTACTAAGAGATTTTGCATTGAGAAGAAGCATAATTTTCAAGTGTATAATTAAATCTTATGCACAGCCACGAGGCATGGCAGTGTTGAGGTGGTAGGAACTTTAAGAAATAAAGCCTAGTGGGAAATAATTAGGTCTATGGGATCTCCCCATCCACACACTGATGGTGCCCTTTCCATTTCTCCATCACATTTGATGCAGCCAGGAGGGCCCTTGCCAAGACGCCAGCCCCATGCTGGTGGGACTCTTCAGCCACTAGAATTATGAACCAAATAAACTTCTTTACAGAGTACTTAGTCTCAGGTGTTTTGTTAGAGCAACCGAAAATGACTAGTACAATTAACACGATATTTAACAATAACACAGGCCTGGATCAGTCACAATGGTTACCTTTGCCAGTGGGCCCTGGTTGTGTGGCTAGATCAGGGTCCTAAGTGCACACTTGACAAGTGGCAGACTCAAAACTTCCAGAATAAAGTGTGGGTAAATTTTTGATATTGTGTTTATTGCCTAAAAAAGATAAGCTATGCAAGCATAAATTCTCATGGGATAACCCTCACTGAATCCTCTCCTTAGAATGAATCATTGTTAAATAGTGTGTATTGGTTTCCTAGGGATGGTGTACTATAACAAATTACTACAAAGTGGGTACTTAAAACAACAGAAAAGTATTGTCTCATAGTTCAGAAGACGAGAAGTTTGAATTTGAGGTCTCCACAGAGTTGACTCCTCCTGGATGCTCTGAAGGAGACAGGCTCCATGCCTCCCTCCTGGTTTCTGGTTGTTGTCAGCAGTTCTTGTCACATACTGGCTTGTGGCTGTGTCACTCCAGTTGCTGCCCTCATCTTCACATGGCCTTCTCATGAAGATGCCAGGCATTGAATTTAGGGCCCACACTAATCTACCAAGACTTTATTTTTATTTAACTACAATTGCAAAGGCCTTATTTCCAAGTAAGTTCACATTCTGGAAATTTAGGTGGTCCTGAATTTTGGGGGGACACTACATGCAGTACAAGAGATGGGTTCTACTGCACTTTTTTCTTTGCATTTGCATACACACACATATATGTATGTATTTATCTTTTTTTTTTTTTTTTTTTGGTGCTGGGGATTGAACTCGGGACCTTGTGCTGGTGAGGCAGGTGCTGGAACCACTGAGCTAAATCCCCAGCCCTATATATGTATTTATAACATAAATTATATTGTACAAACTATACTCATTGCTTTTTTTTTCACTTAACCATGTCTTAGAAAAAATTCTAAGCCTCTGTGTGGGAGGAGAGTAGTCTTTTAAAATGTTATATTTGATTTTGTAATCATTATGTACTACAAACATACTAATAAAAAATTGAAGAAAATTTTGTATTTGGTTCTACAGGTATTGCTGTCATTTATTTTAATCTATTCTCATATTGGTAAATAGAGTATTTCCATTTTTATACTATTAAAAATGTGGAGTAAATAGTTGTATATGTATCTTAGTACACATCTGTAAGTAATATTGGAGGTATTGAAAAGTGAAATTGCTGAATCAAACAGCATAGATATTTAAAAATTTTAATTAGTACTGCTAAACTGACTCCAAATGAACACCAAAGGCATTAGATTTTGTCAAATGCCATTTCTTTATCTGTTGAGATGATTATATAGTTTTTACTTACAGGTATTGATTTGTGCATGTTGAAGTATCCTCACATCCTATTTGATCATGGTGTATAACACTTCTAATTTTTTGTTTTGTTTTGTTTTGTTTTTTTGAGATAGGGTCTCACTATGTAGTTGAGACTGATCTGGAACTCACTATGTAGTCCAGCACAATTTAAAAAAATAAACATTTCTTTCTTGGTTGAAGTACCACCTTTATCAAACAATAAAATACACAGGAATTAGATCTGAATTCAGTCCCTGGGATTGCTGGGAAGAGTAGCCATCCAAAAGATCAGCCCTGCACTATTATTGCTCAGATCATTAACTCTGGTTAAATGATGGTTATTGTAACAATATGGAGGGAACACTTTTTTGTTTTGTTTTTTTTTGAGACAGGGTCTTGCTATATAGCCCAGGATAGCTTTGAGTTCTCAGCAATCCTCCTGCTTCATCCTCCTAGGTTCTGAGATTACAGGTGTATACCACTATGCCTGGCAGAGAGAGTGATTTTGTTGGAGTTCTTAGTATAGATGGTCTTTCACTTATGATGGGGCAATCAGGGCTAGACCTTGGAGTCAAAGGTAAAAACATATTACGACAGTGGCTGGAGATTCATCTGTTGGAGGTCAGGCCTCAAGATAAAGTGGAAATGACCAGGCCTAATATAAGTGAACACCTGGTCTAATTGAACTCTGGATAGACATCAGGCACGTGGATGGGTGACCAAGACCCTCACACTCATTCCTTTGTGAAATGTTCTTTGTTCCTCCCATGTACATTTGCTATGAGACCCATTTTTCCATTGGATCAACTGATGATCTTATTGGTTGATCATAGCTGTAACCCACCTAGTTGTGCTCTATAAACTTCCCCCTGAGAAATGGGATTCCCTCCTGCCCCTCAGGAGTTGTATCTTTCCTCTTCAAACTCTATGCCTTTCCTATTTTGATTTGCCCCTTGCTCAGTCCCCTAGAATTCACTGATGTTTTTATTGTGTCTACTGTTTTGCCTATTCAGCAAAATGTCACATGGTGAAAATCATGTATTATGATGTAATTTCAGAGCAGGCTCATTCACTTTGCAATATTCATTTAAGGTTCATTCATGTAATTTTATAAGTTGGTAGCTCACTTAGTATTGTATGTATGTATTAAAGTTTCTATGTCTATCCATCTCTTGAAAGACATTGTAATTAATTTTAGATCTTCATGATTATGAATACTGAAGTGAATTCATATGTATGTAGGTTTTTATATGGACATACATTTTGAAATCAGTCAGATAAATAGCTAGGAATGCAATTTTTTGATTGTATACCAAGTCTATGTTTGGCTTTGCACATATTGTTAAATGTCTTTCCAAAGTGACATACTATTTTTTGTTCCCAAGACCATGAATGAGTCTATTGATTAGAATTTTGGCCAGCATTTGATCTGATCTTGTTTGTCTTTTCTTAAGTCATTTCTTAAATTATCTTTTTCTTTTCTTAAAGTAATGTACATAATGTGTATGGTATGTAAAATTAGGTAATATCTCAATTTTGCTTAATTTGACAAATTGTAGTTAACATGTTTTTCATGTACTTACTTTCCATCTATAATTATTCTGTTAGGTATCCAAATATGTTATGCATAAGTGTATAGATGGGATTTGGGGGGGAGTTGAGGCAGATTCTCACTGCATATAGATAGATAGATAGATAGATAGATAGATAGACAGATAGATATTTATTTATAATGAATTTATCCTAGCAAAACTAAGGTTTTGATTAGAATTATTTTGTATCTATAGACTCAAAATGGGGAAGACTCTACATCAATAATGTTAGTGTTGCAGTCAATGAATATGAATATCCCTCTACTGAAATATTCTTACTTTTCATTTTGAAACAAACTCTTTGTAGACAGGGAGGGAGGAGTTGAAGGAAGGGCAGGGGAATGAGGAAAAAGTAAGAACCAAGATTGATTATGTAAAGGTACAAATTTCCAACAGTGAATGTCATTATATTGTATTTATTATATGTACCAATAAAATTAATAAAAATATTTATTTTTTATCAGAGCTTTGTATTTTCATAGGTACCTTCTATATTATTATCACAAAAAGTATTAAATTGAGAATTGCTGTTTTAGCAACAGAACTTTGCTTTTGTCTGGATATTATTCTTTTCTTTGTTTTTTTTTTAATGGAATGTGCTGAATGTCTATAATTTTGTTCAGATGACTGCAGAACCTGGAAAAGCTGTTGCTGCTAT